AGCTGAAATGCTTAAATGTAAGTGTGTCATCTCCAATTAGTATGAGACCTTTTTAGGTAAAGCCCAAGAGCAAAACTGTGTGGACTCAGACTCAAAGCGGACAATATCATACCATGTGGTGGAGTGGGCCCCTACAAATAGTATTAGAGCCTACCCAGCCGGAAGTGTGCCGACATGGACGTCGGGCCTCCAAAGGGGGTGAATTGTGATGACCTTGTGGGCGGGGTGTGCTGTGGGCGGGTGTGAGACACTGTCAGGCTACCACATTGGCAAGCTACGGCTGCACAATCCAACATCGCATGGGAAAAGAAAAGGTGAAGTGCTTATATGTAGGTGTGTCACTCTATATGAGACCTTTTGGGGTAAAGTTCAAGAGCAAAACTGTGCGGGTTCATGTTCAAAGCGGACAATATCATACCATGTGGTGGAATGGGTCGTTACAAATGGTGTCAGAGCTTGACACAGCCGGAAGTGTACCGATGGGGACGTCAGGCCTCCAAGGGGGGTGGATTGTGATGACTCTGTGTGCAGGTGTGCCGTGGGCGGGTGCGAGAGACACTGTCAGACTACCATACTGGCGAGTTACGGGTGCACAGTCCCACATCGCCTGGGTAGAGAAGAGGTGAAATGTGTATATGTATGTGTGCCATCTCCAATTGGTATGAGGCCTTTTGGGGTGAAACTCAAGAGTAAAACCGTGCGGGTTCAGGCCTAAAGCGGACAATATTATACCATGTAGTGGAGTGGGTCGTTACACTTTGGGTGTGACGAGGGTAAACAGCTTTTATAATTCCATTTTAAGTCTCCATTCGTACATGGAATATTTATTATTATTTTTTTTTTCAAAAAGTTGGAATATTTATTTATTATACTTTTTTTTTTAAAAAGTTGGAATATTTATGAAAATTTTGTTTGAGGACCAGTCGTGGTCTTCCAGAAATCTACAGTAATCTATGAGCAAGGTCCAGAGTCCGCAACAACGGCACCTGGATTTCAGGGTTCAGACTGGGATTTTTAGCAACTAGACATTGGTAGAATGTAGTGGATGTGAGACTCAGATAAGTGTGTGTAATTCTGCTTGAGATACCTTCCTGCAAGAGATTTTTTCTTAACTCTCTTCATTTAGATATTTTCACCCCCAATTTCTTTTTTTTTTTTCTTGCTTACTTTTTTACTTTAGTGTTTATTTGAGATTGGTTTACAATGAATTGTTAATGCGTTTTTTTTTCTTGCTTACTTTTTTACTTTAGTGTTTATTTGAGATTGGTTTACAATGAATTGTTAATGAGTTTGGAAAATTAATCAATTATAAAAATTGAACAAGAATACCTATTCACCTTTCTAGATTTTAAGAACATTAAATTTTATTAAATTAATTAATTATTTTCGCATCGAACAACCCATACAAATAATTATTTCCATAATATCATGCTAGGGGGCACACACAAAGTGAGAATGTCGTTTTGATAGATTTTATTATAAAATCTTTTAGACTCAACTTTCAGAAGTCTATGATTCAATAAAATGTGTCTCACGAAAAATGTGCTGGCCATGGTTGTAGAAATTCAATAATTCATCTGTTGGGCCAAACTTTGGGTGATTAGACCTACACAAGTGTCTTTTAAATGCAGTTAAAATTTAATATCCTCACTATAGCACTAATTAGGAATCGACCAATAAAAATTTACCTTATTATAGTTGAAAATTTCTTTTAAATAATATTTAAATTGTGTTATCACAAATGCTTAACTGAATACTCAATTTATTTAGAATTTAAGAAACTTATTCATCATACAATATTACCTAATCTTTTCATAGGACTTGGACGAGTAATTTAGGTTGGTTGCCGGACCATTTGTCTTGGGAAGCTTGCTATAGATATGAGATATTTTATTTTAATTCATAATTTTAAATATAAGCACATAAAGATATTAAATGTTTGTGCTAACTATTACAATAGATAAATGCATAGACACATGCATAGAGCATTTTATTTAAAGACAATAAAGAAATTTCGGCCAAATCTGGTTTGTAGTCAAAATTATTGACCAAATTTTGGCGTATGACAAAAAAAATATATATATATAATAATAATTTTGAAGATTTACATTTAAGTAGAATTGTTAAAAATATATATGAGAGAAATAGACACAAGGAGAGCAAACGGGAGCCAAAAGTTCTATTGTGTCAAATTTGTTTTATGAAAAGGGTATCGTAGTTTATAATTTACTTTGCTTTAGATAAAGTGATTGTGCGAGCATCTACCATTTGGAAACTTTAACTTTTTTGTCAGAAGGCATTTGAAATTGTTATGATTCTTCATAATGTGTTACACGACCGAGATAAATGGACACAATTATTTAGTCAAAAAGTTAGATAATTACATTGCAGTTAAAAAGCAACAACATTAACTTTCGGGAACCAAACCAAAAAAAAAAGGGAATAACTTTCATTTGGTTTGTAATTTTGAGAAGAATTTTTTATTATCAGAAAATTAAAAATAAAAAACTGTATAAAAAATTTTGTTTAGTTCAATTTTATAAAAACTATTTTATGAAAACTAAGTGATAAAAATTAAGGTTCTAACTTTTTCACCAATGATGTCCAACATGAAAATATACCTTCAGGGAAAATACATAAAAATGTTAGAAAACACATAATTTAATCTTTATTGTGAATTACATGTGAGTGTAATAATTAAGATGATATCAATCGACACTAACATACAGTATGTGTTAAGAGAAGAAAACAATCAAGAAAAAAACATATCACACAAGAAAATTCACGATTTACCCAAAATTGTTTAAGTCTATTTATAGATTTATATCTGATCAATGGGGAAGGAAATATTCAAGGAAATAGCTAAATTAGTTTGATATAACTTTTCTGATTTATGTGTTACTTGATTTTTTTGAAATGCTGCACCAAATGAAAATTTTATCAAACTATGTATTCATTTAGTTAATACATATTAATTATATTCAACTATCATCATCTTGTAGAGTTGAAAAGGAAACAGTTCAGCAAGTTTTGATGAGATGAAATACATCTATGATGGCTTTCGCAATAACGAATTTTTGGAACCAAAGATAGAACGGACTAAAATTAAATTTTGGCCAAATAATCTCAATTTTAGTCAACTACATCTTTGGCGTAGGGAAAAAAAAATATACAAAATTTTAATCTCAATCTACAAGAATTTTTGGCTTAGGGAAAAAAATAATAATAATTTGAAGGCCAATATGTGGTGGGTGCCAAGGAAGGAAATTAGGGTAGAGGGAAAATAACTACTAGGATAAAAGAAAGGAGAAGAGAGAAGAGAAAGATAGAGAGTTGTTTTGGGAGGAAATGTGTAAAGCAACTTTTTGTACCTACACTTACTTTTGAAGAGAAGACATAGATTAATCAAATAATATGGTGGTAATGATTGAGAGAGCAATTCCTACCTTTTTGTGAAGAGAATGAAAGAACATATTCAAAACTTCCTTCCAAGGTTTTACAAACACGAACAACAATGGTGCAAAGAAGAGAGTTGCTGTGAGAGACTTGGTAAAACTTCTATTGTATGGAGAGTGAGAGATAGGCAGGCAGACAGAGTGTGTGAGGGGGAGATGAGGTTTCCATGTTCCTTTTGTTGAGGTGGTGGTCGAGGCGGTAGGGTGAGATCGATGGGCTCAAAATATGATTTTTCAAAAGATTAGTTCGTAAGTTGTTTTGGTTAAGTTTTGAGAAAAAAAAAATTTATCTATCCTTGGTTTTGAGTCGACCAAACACACCATAAAATATAGAAATATATATTTTTAAAAATATTTTACTACCAAACAAACTAAACTTTGAGCAATAAATATTTAGACAAGAAAATAAAAAACCTAAAAACAAATACATTCACCAGATAGTCGAAATAGAGCCCATTAAAAATAATATAAAAATAATACCAATAAGAGGACCAATGACCAGTAATTGCACCAGTATGGGATAATGCTGTGCTTCATATCGTGCTAGGAGAGGAGAAGATCGAAAGAACATTATAGCATGTGAATTGAGGAGAATGAAGAAATAAGATTAAGAGAATCAATCTAGATAACTGATAGAAAAAAATAAATAAAAAATCTAAAAAAATGTTGAATTATTAGGAATGTCAATGCAACAGGTTGGGGATGAGGCACTCTTTTTCAAACCGGTTCTACTAATAAAATTATTTTTCAAATTCAATTTAAGTGTCCTGCATTGAAATTGGGACGAATTCAAGGCGTCCCAATCAATATACATATATTTTTATAAAAAATAATTCAAACTTGAAAAATTTTAATGTAAATTTTTAGTGTAGTCAAATATTTAAACAATCATAATAATAATAATAAAATGTTGTTAAATTTAAAATTATAATAAGAAATAAAGAAAAAATAAAAATTTTAATTAATAAAAAATATTTATTTATACATTAATTATTAATCTGTACGAATTAAAAATTTTGGGGGTTTAAGCTCTCTTTTCAAATCAACCCTTAACCGCGCCGGTTAAATTGACGTCCTGAAATTCTGAGTGTGGAGCAATGGTGGGCACACTTCATTTACACCATCCGGTTCTAGGAGGCCAAACACATGGACTGATATGTTCATATTACTTGAATCTCATATTAATCAGATTCGGTTATTTGTAAATTTTTTTCATAAATTAGTAATATGATCTGTTTGTGAAAAGGTATTTTCAGTTATGGAAAATGTTAAATACAAAATTGCTACAAAATGAAGGATTGGTTGCCAACATTGAAAGAGAGATTATTTACCGAAAAAAACACTTTGAAAGAGAGAAATTGTGAGTGTTTCTGTTAAGATTTGATACTAAATGATCATAGATATATATTTTCTTTTTATTCCATTTAACCCCAAGTCAGAACTTTCATTCCGCCCCAGAATTTACAAATGTTGTCAGAATTAGAAGTTTAAGCTTTTATGTATATTCACTATATTATTTTGTTGATAGGAATAGGAAGGAAGCAGTTGTTTGGTTTTTTTTTTTTTTTTTTTTTTGAAGCAATTACACACACCCTACCTCCACCAAGGTTCGAACCTCCGACTTCTCCTTTGGGAAGGAATGGGTGATAGCGCTGGCCAATTGGTTCTTTGGTTAGGAAGGAAGCAATTGGTTTTAGAAAACAGATGGCTATGCTCTTAGGAGGTTCCTGTTCAATGAAATTGTCTCTCTCCCTCTTTTCTTATTTTTTGTATATTTAATTTATTTTATGAGAAAATTGTATTTGATATCTAGTGAATGTGAAAATAAAAGAAAATATAAAGTTTATTCATTGGAAATCTTTACAAGCAGCCCAAGAGATAAATGAAGAACAACACTTTATTAATGTGGCTCCATACACTGAAAAGAAAATGGACAACATCTATCAACGCATACATATAAAATCATAGAACTTGTACCACATACTGTCCATAAGCTGGAAGCACACAAATCTCCATGCTTTATTGAACAGAAAAGGTCCAACTATGCCCCAAAAGCCCACCACAAATCCTAGAGCCATGCTCACATAAAACCAGTCCACTTCAACTCCTCCTCCTTTGCCTCTCTTATTTCCAAAAGTAGGTGTCCCATTTTTCACACTGCAATTGTCCATAAGTGGAGGTCCACACAAATTGTTGCCCATGAAGCTAGATTCATCGAAGCTCTGAAGCTGAGTGCTAGATGGTATTTCTCCAATCAAATTGTTATAAGACAAATTCAAGTGACTTAAGAATGTCAGACTTGAAATGCTTGGTGGGATTTTACCAGAAAGATGGTTTACAGAGAAATCAATAGATTCAAGCAATCCCATAGCACCTATATTCTCGGGAATCCTCCCTGTCAAAAGATTATATGACAAATTCAATGATTGAAGCCCTAGGAGACTCATCAATTCCATAGGGATCTCTCGGAATAGATTGTTGTCTGAAAGGTCCATGCACCTTACCAAGTGAAGTATAGTGCTATATCCAACCAATTCTCCTTTCATTACAATCAATGCATTCTCCAAAACGCCTGTGAAAGGGTTGTCAATGAATGTACCAGGGCCATATAACATTTGACCAACTGAGTTTTGTCGTGTAGTCATGGCACTCAAATTCATAAAACATCTTGGTATACTTCCCAACAAATTGTTGCAAGCAATATCTAAGATTTGAAGTGAAATGAGTGCACAAAGTGTTTTAGGAATGTTTCCATGAAACTTGTTTGACCGCAAGATGAGAATCTTGAGATTTGGAAGACTTTCTCCAATCCATGCTGGTATACTTCCTGAAAATTTATTTTCAGCAAAGTCAATAAACATTAAATCTGTACAATTTTGTAGAGACAGAGGTAATTCTCCAGAAAGGCTATTGTTACGTAGATGCAACGATTTGAGGAGGCTTAGAGATCCCATAGAGCTTGGAATTTTCCCAGTGAGCCTGTTGTTTCCAAAATTTATAAACTCCAACCTTTCCCAACTCATCCCACAGTTAGGAATTTCTCCTGATAAAAGATTCCCCTTAAGATTAAGAAGTACCAAATCCTTTTCTTCATCCATCCTATAACATAGAAAATGGAAAATTGTTCCTGAAAATGAATTGTTGGAGAGATCTAGTGCTCTTACGTGAGAGGATAGATGGGGTAATCTACCATAGAAATGGTTGGAACCAATGTCAATTACTGAGGAATCATGAAAAACCAGAGGCATATTTTTGATCTCTCCTTGGATATGATTGTGAGAGAGATTTAAATAGTAAAGCTGGGGAGATAAGTTCCAAAACCAAGTAGGAATGGTATCTGAAATTCCTGTATTGGATATGTCTAGACCCCATAAATTCTTTTGTGAGTGAAGCCAGAGAGGAAATTGTGGCCCTAATTGCCATGAAATCAGTGATATGATTTCAATTTGAAAAGGAGGAATCCAGTCTAGTCTCACTTTCAAAACCAAATGATTTTTGCACCCAGCAAATTCTCTCAATCTTGTGAGGTTAGCAAAGTGAACTTCAGATACATCACCTTGTAATGAATTTTGAGTCATCCAAAATAATTCAAGCTTTGCAAGTTGTCCAAAACTCTTTGGAAAAGGTCCGCTCAAATTATTATAAGAAATATCCAAAACTTTCAAGGAGGATAATACTCCCAATGACTCAGGAATGTAACCAAAAAGAGAATTTGTGGAAAGATAGAGAAAAACTAGATTTTTGGATTGTTTAAGCTGATCAATGGCATCAGGAAAATGACCAGAAAGTTGACTGCTTGATAAATCAAGAGTTTCCAACCCATCCAAAGTGCATCCAGATAAAATGTTTAAAACTTGCGATATATTGCCACCAACCTTGATACTTGACAATCTAATTTCTTTCAAATTGCAAAGATCTCCTAAGGATGTAGGCAATATCCCTGCAAGCTCATTGTTTGACAGGTCAAGGGTAATGAGATTACTCAAGTTCCCAATTGCACTCGAGATCATACCTTGGAAGTCATTGGATGCCATGCGTAGGAATTGAAGATGGCTAAAACTGTATAGCCAGTCAGGTATGGTGGAGTTGAAAAAGTTAGCAGACAAATCAAGATGTCTAAGAACACTCATGTTTTGGAGACCATTTGGTTGTGTTGCAGATCAAGAAAACAAAGGCCATTAAGACTGAACAACCAATCAGGGATTGTTGATCTAAAGTTGTTATTTGAAAGATCGAGGATGACAAGGGAAGTAAAATTAACAGGCAGTAAAGAAGGAAAGTGATCAAGACTGCAATTGGACAAACGTAACTCTACCAAAGAAGGAAGCATGTTTGTTACCTGCAACCAATCAGATGCTTTGGTAAGGTTTACGAACCTCAAATCAAGGTGCTGCAACAAGGAATGACGAGAAAGCCATTGAAGATTATCGGATATAGTCTTCCAAAATCACCACCCCCAAGTACAAGGTAATGCAAACTGGAGAGGTTTCCCAGTTGATGGGGAATTAAGCCCTCAAAATCTCCCTCAAGATCGAGGTAGTGCAAACTCGAGATGTTCCCAAGTTGATATGGGATCACTCCCCCAAATCTTGCTTTGGAGAGATTAAGATATCTTAAACTCCCCAAAGAGCCGATGAAGCTTGGAATTTGAATTCCTCCAAAATTGTTGTTGCTGAGGTCCAAGTAACTCAAATGCTTCAGGTTGAGCAAGGAAGGGTTCAGCTTACCACCCAGCTGTGACCTCACATAAGCTTTATGTTCAGTAGCAGAAACACTATCCGAAAGTGGATTTTGAAGGTGGAGCTCCTTGACATTGCCAGTCAAGTTGTCGCAGACAACTCCAACCCATTTGCAGCAGTCGCCTTCACCAGCCCAAGAGGATAGCCGGTTGGAAGGATCATTAAAACTTTGTTTGAACCTCAAAAGGGTTTGTCTCTCATTTTCAACACAAAACATATGAGAGTTTCCACTGCAAAAGATAATATAAAAAGTTTGGATTGTAGTGAGAAACACAAGCAGAAGAATGCTAACATCTCTCATGTATCTATCCATGATCATGCCCACAGCAAGTGTAATGCATGAGAAGTAAGGAAGATCCCTGCATTTGTAGTAGCTGGTGAACTCTCAGCCCCAACAGTTATCCAATAGTTGAAGGAGTCTTGATAGGTTTTTCTACAGAAGAGTCAAATTTTCTTCATGGAATAGGACCCATTGTATAATGAGGGATTGTGCTAGGTAGGTGAATGCCATCTAATAAATTAAATATCTCATTCGATTGCATTTGTATGATTTAGAATACGTACTGGTTCATTTTTTTAGTCTTCGCAACTGCAAGTTTAGTCTTCCCATTCTATGTTAGATGCGAGTCCTTCACAAAAAGTCCTTCCACGTGGCGTGGGCTGTAACATTTCTAATTTTTATCATTTTTCATTTTTTCCGGAGATTTTGTCGCCGCAAGGGTAATTTTGTCTTTTCACGCCTTGCGTACAGGATTGTGGTTGGGTCCAATTGCATTTGTGCAACTTAATTTATGTGGATCAAGTGGTATTTGTATGTGGTGCTATTATATGTTGTATGGTGTAAATTAGAGGCTAAAAGAAAAAGGGAAAAGAAAATAAAATTGGAGGGATCCACCACTCACATTTTTGTGGTCTAAAGACCATTTCTCTCTCCCTCATTCTTTCTCTCTTCCCGTAACTTCTTTCTCTCCTCTTCTCTCATTCATTTTTCTTTTCTTTTGGAATCAATCTTTGAAACAAGGTGTCTCTTTCAATTCTTGCCGGATTTAGGTACCGTTTGAGGCAAAACGAAGCCCACAACGAGCTCTACGAGATAGTACGAACAATTTCAGATTCGGTGCTTCTTAGGGAGTTCGAAATTAGAGACCCATTTTGAGGGTTTTCGCATTTTAAGAGGTAGGGGTTCCTAATCCATGTGTTCTTGCTCCCTTGTGAGTTATTCCTTGTTAATTGTCGCTAAATGTGTTTAAATTGATGATTAACATGTTTAATTAAGTTGATTGTCTCTAAAATAATGTGATTTTGTATGTGAGATTCATATTTATGTGTATATGTGGATTTGTGAAATAAACATGCTTAGATATTGATTTTACATGCTTGTGTGTTTGTAACTTGGTAGAATTTGTTACGTGGAAAGCATGCCTTATTTAAATTAATTACCTTGAAAGTGATACAATTATTGAATTTGAAAATTATGCCTATATATGTGTAATTGTTAATTTATGTGGAGAGCATGCTTGATATGTGAATTTTCCATGACTATGATGATTGATAAATTGTAGGAAATTTGTGTGGATCTATGTTAATTGTGTAATGATAGTTCTCTCCATTTCCATGGTATAAAATGGGTGTGCATTATGCATCCATGGCATTGGGCATGAAGGAGAAAGGGAAAATGTTTTGAAAACAAAAAGGGGAATTTTGGGAAATAAGTTTTTGATAAAAAGAATTTTGAGAAAACCTGGTTGCTGCGGAGTCACCAACGAGCCGGTAGGTTAATGTAGCCTAAGGGTAATTAGGGAGATTGCCCTAGCGTGGTTGAGCTATCTGGGCCCCTCGACGACGTTGCGGAGTCACCAAAGGTCTAGGGACAGTAGCTAATCATTCTCTCGGCACTGCGGGGGTACCAAAGGGGGTTACATTAACAGTTTGGAAAGTGACAGATGAATGATTTTGAAAATGGGGAGCGACATTTGGCACGCATTGCATTCCATTGTATTGTATTGTTGATGTTGAGTTTGGATGTGATGTTGTACTTTCCCGACATAGTATGACCCCGATTCCTATTGCTCTATTCTTTGTATGGATTCACGGGGACACAAGAGGTGTGTCTTAGGTGCCACCTACTTAGCAATATGCTCACCTCATTTATTTAACTTTTTTTTTCAGGAAATGGGAAAGAAGTGGCGGATGAAAATCCTCCACAAGCTTGAAGAAGATTAGGAGTTGTATTTTGTTATCTTTTGTATCTTAGCCCATTTTTTTTGTATAGTCTCAAAACTAAAATGTCGTGTATTCATTTTTGCAAGCCAAGGTCATGTATTATAAATCATAACTCTTATTGATATTTTGAAGGGAAGCAAGACTATGTAAATGCTTAAGTTAAATGGGATGACGATGATGGGCTAACTTGGGGAGGTTGTTGATGTTGTGGTATTGGGGAATGTATTATATTTCTTTTGTATTGTGTGTTGGGACATGTTGGATAGGTCTTGAAAGGCTATCGCATTTTTTTTTCTTCATTTGAACAGGTTGTGGTAGGACCCTTTTAAGGGAGGTCATGCTGAATTTTTTTTTTAGAATTTGGTATCAGTTTAGGGGCGTTACAAATTTGGTATCAAAGCGATGGTTCGAAAACCTTAGGATGACGGGTAGAGGCCTATGTAGGATTGCATGGGAAGTTGTTTGCTTTCCGTATGAGATTATTTGTCGCTTGTTTTGATATTTGAAGAAGCATGTTTATTTGTTTACTTGCTTATTTGCTTATGTGATCACATGTTTATGTGTTTAAAACAATGTATACTATTACTAGGATAATGATTGAAAGCATGTTGATTTCGATATGATGATAAGTACGACGAGCATGTTAATGGCGAGTTGTAAGTACGGATTGTGCAAGTGTGTAGTATGGGGAAACGATGATGAGAATAGAAGGGATAATTAATTTCACATAATAATTTATTAAATTCGTAGTTTAAACTTATGTGATAGGACACGGTCGTGTCAAAAGTGTTATTTTAGCTATATATATATGCGTATGCCTTGTATGTATACCTATGTACCTTTATGCATGTATGCGGTCAAGCATAGGATAATTGTGTGTTTTAACCTGAGGAGGTGAGGAGCTCGGTTGCTCCAGGGTTGTTTGGGTGTTGGTTCTTGTCGAACTATGGCGTGGGTTTCTAGTTCATAAATTGAGCTATTTTGTGTGTAATCATTTTGATTTTCTTGCCGCATTTGGTGAAGCGCTTAGAGTAGGACAGTAGAACAAGTTCATATTTCATGGCTAAATGTTCTTATTGTGTGAGAGTGTTCATAGCTTTGAGTCAGGGCCGCATGATTATATTGTACTGATCCTTTTTCTTTCCATTTTAGAGTCATGCCTCCGAAGAGATGTAGAGAAATAGATAATGATGGGGAGCAGGACGAGCTCTTTAAAGGGAATCTTTTGGTTAAGAATTTGGTTGAGGTTACGACAAACTTTGTACGTGCAGTAGTCATGGAAACTCAGAGGTCGGTGGTACAGTTAGAGAGAAAGGACAGATCAGGAGATAGAGATTTGTGGAATCAGGTTAAGGAAGTGGAGATGTTGTCCAAGAGTCATGTACGAAAGGTGTTAAAGGGTGATTTTTCTCATTCCCCCGTTGTTTTTACATCATCACTGGAGACATCCCCTAAGATTGAGAAGGCTTGCTATAAGTGCAAGTAGATAGGTTATTTGAGAGCAGAGTGCCCTTGGGATCGGCCTAGTTCTGGAGTTTATTTTAAATATGGTCAGCCTGATCATAGGAAGAAGGATTGTCCCAAAAGAGGTGGAATTCCAGTTGGCGAGGTAGGTTCAGGGCAAGGACCGACTCGACTTTTGGTATCACAGATTGGTGTTTAGCTTAGAGAGTCGCATGAATGGCAGATTTTACCTGTTGAATCACCAGAGAGACCTCCTGTAGTCAAAGGTATGTAATTGCATTAATTTTTAGCATTTTATTGGTGTTTCCTTTTGGGTAAGTGTTTGATCTAACGAGTAATGGAGATAGTGATGCTTATAGTAATGATATTGAACCTAGGACATGAGGTTTTCTTGTTTAGTCATGTGGATTGCCTTAGAAGGAGTGGATCGGGTGGTCGGTTGAGCGTTAATGATTGATGGCAACATTCATGGTATTAAGGTGACAGTTGGGCGTTAGGTATTTTGGGTTTTATGCTCATTTTTGTTTTGAGGATTCATTGGTTTTGAAGCTCCTTTCTAGTAGTTGGCAGTGATCATTATGGGGAGTATCGAGAGTAATGTTTGTTCTTTTGTTATAGTGGTATTGTTTTGAGGATGTTTGAGGAAAAGTCACTTAGTGGTGGCTTAATGGTCTGGCGGGTTAGTAGGTTTGAACCGTTGTTTCGAATGAGTGGTAGTAGAGGCATTATGGCGTGATATTTTGCATTGATGAGCATAATGGTTTTAGGCATGATTCAAAGATGGATTACAATTAGGAGTGTTATTGTACGTTATCAAGTTAATGATGGGATTGTGCACCAGTTAAGGCGATTATGGACGGCTTAGTTCTTAGAGCCGGCAAGAGCAGTGCTGCCAGCTAAGTACTTTTTCTTTTGAGGAGTCAGTGGATTATTGTGATTGAAGTTACGAGTCCAGTATGTACGGTGACCGAGGCAATGTCACCTGGGTTGGTATGGTTGAAGTGGATAGTAAGGTGTCGTTTTATGGTGTGAAAGTTGTCGATTGGGGAGTAACTGATTCAAGGAAGAATGGGGCACGGTGTTTGAAGGGTTATGATTGTTTTCAAAGTGGATGTGTTGTGAGCATTGGTGCTCTTGTTCGATGTTTGTGTTATGAGTTACATCTCAGTACTTGATGAATGGGTGTTGTGGACCTGATTAGTTTGGGTTAGCATGGGGGTTGTTGAGTGTGTTATTAGTTGGTTCTCTTCCTGGTGCATAGGAAGTTCATTTTTTTCATCTCAGGTAAGATTGGGTGTTTATAGTTGGACGACTGGTGAATAACATGTGATAGAGTGTCAGGTGCATTTAGGTGCGAGTTGTTGACCTTTCGTGAGAGCGGGGTTCGTCATCCTTTCTGCTTGTTCTAGTTCTAGCGAGGACGTTGTTTGTCATAGACATTGCTCTTCCTTTACGAGTTGAGTGCGTCTGTAGGTGGACGGATTTGTGAGCGGGTGTTACACCATTAGAGTTCATTGATTGAAGTTCTGATTGAAGGGGTTGACTTACTCCCACGGAGGGAGGTATAGCTTTTAGTTTTGCAGTGTTTGTTTTGGGAAATGGTTTTGACTGGTAAGATATGAGGCACGAATTGCCAAATGAGAATTGTGTTTCTAATGTTTGTTGTTTACGGGGTGGTGGCGGCAAGGATTTTGTTATGAATGAAAGGTTGATGATGAATAGATGATATGATGTGGCCCATGTATTTAGATGTTTTATAGGTGATTGACTCTAGCAATGTCTTGAGGACAGGTGTTGGTATTGTTGAATGTTTTGCAGTTAAGGAATGATTGTGGGGTTCCATCGAGGGAAATAGGAATGATTGATTTTGGTTTTGAAATCTCGAGTATGAGATAATTGTATTATATGTTTTGACGAGGTTAGAATTGAATCAAATAATGTTATGGAGTTGTTTACCTGGTACGGGTATTATGAGAAGATTAGAGGGCTTTGATGTTGGTCGATGATTGAGATATGATTGGAATTCTTAGAATAGGTATATGACTGTATGGTTGTTGAGTTTATGTAGAGCGATGAATTGATTAGAGAGTGGATCTTGTGGTTGCTTTGAGAACCATGTGAGTTTGTGTTTGAGGTTTAGACCTGAGGACAGGAACGACGTCCATTTTGAGATCGGATTGAGGATGAGAATGGCTAAGCCAACCATTTCTCCTGAATCAATTCTTATTTGGCACGATGTCGAGTCAAAGGTCAATGATCGTTCCGACTTGTTAGTGATAGTGAGAGTACAGTACTGTACGTTGTGTTGGTGTGACAACGTGGACTTACATAATTTATCTTGGGTGATGAACGGTGTTAGGTGGTGTTGGGTGTTTGATAACGGATTAGTGGTACAATTATTGATTATTGAGAATCTCGTTTTAAGGATTTATGTTCAGAATACAATGATAGTACATTTTATTATTTTGGTGACTTATGATTGTATGATTGTTGGGAGATTTATCGTTTAGTTATTTTGAGGTTAATCCATATGACAATAACCGGTTGATGTAATTGATGGTCATTGTATGATTATGTAGTTGTATAGCCGTATGTTTGATGACAGGTGTTAATTTGATAAAGATGTGTTGATTTGAGTTTGAGTCTGATCCTCGTTGGGGTCTGGTTTGTCCTCTAAAGGGACGGGGTGAGATAGGATGTTGTCATGATTCAGGGGTCTTGTGACCATTTTCGTTCGAGTCTTGTATAGTCATATAGAGAGGACCAGTGTTGGTTTTAAGTTGAGTATAGAATTCAGCGGATTTTGTGTATAATGTTGTGAGTGATGAGTTCCTTCGTATGGTGGTGATCATTGGGTTTGTTAACCGCTAATTGACTCTAGAGGGGGGGGGGGGTGAATAAAGTCAATGGCCAATTTTCGTAATTTATAGATTTGTAAATTCTATTCTACCATTCAAACAATTATGCAACATACAAAATATGAAAGTAAACAATTACTAGCACAATTGTAAAAGAGATAAGAGAAGAGAAATTTCAAACAATGACTTGGCGATTTTAGCGAGGTTTGGAAACTCCTACTCCTCGGCTCAAGATCCTTCTTGAGACTTCCCAATGCACTATGACTTCTCCTTACGGGTGGAGAGCAAACCTTTACATGAAGCAGACACTTGCTTCTCTTCTTTGCTAGAAGAATACCCTTCTTCTAGGCTTCTTGGGGTTACACCAACCCTTTACAAGTTTGTAGAAGAAATTGTAGTTGTGATACAAGAATGAATCTCTCTCGAGATAGATGTACAAATGTAAGCTCACAAGGCTAGAGTAATAGATGAATTAAAATGAAGCTTAACTTGGTATGGTTGAGTGAAATGAATGCTTGAGTAAATGCTTTGAATGATATTTTTGAATTCTCTCAACCGCGCCCTAGCCTTCTTCAATGCTTGTCTTTATATAGAGTTTTTGGAAAATGAAATGCATTAATTGCTCAAATATATCTGTTATGGTAGGTTGAAGAGCATTAATTGTTTATGTGACCGTTAGCGCAATAAATATAACAACTTCAGATCTGCTTCAGTGAGATTGGATCTCATCTAACTGGTTAGAGGATTTTTCTAAACCGGTTACATCTGCTGAGGGACTTCTTTAGTTAAGGCCAACTATTCGAACACAAGAAGCTTCCTAACCGGTTACATCAAAGGCCAAGATAAGTGTCGTTCTGTTAACGCATATCTAACCGGTTATATAACTTCTTCTAACCGGTTACATCAATGGCTAAGAAAAGTTTCGTTCTATTAAAGCACATCTAACCGGTTATATAGCTTCTTCTAACCGGTTACATCATTGGCCAAGAAAAAAAATCATATTCTGTTTAAGTACATGTAAACGGTTACTTGAGATCTCTTAACCGGTTACGAGAAGGTAGATACAATGTTTTGTATGTTGATCTAAACGGTTAGAACAATTCTTCTAACCGGTTACAAGGTGCAGATAAAAAGATCAAGCTTTCTGTTTTGTTCATATAAACGGTTAGATGAAACTTCCTAACCGGTTATGAGATACCTTTGATCAAGTGTTGCTTTCTGTTTTAGCTCATCTAAACGGTTAGATGAAACTTCCTAACCGATTACCAGATTCTAAGGAGATTTTTGATTTTTCTTTTTAAGTGCAGAATCTTGAAAGATGTGTATGAAAATGCACGAGCCAATAGATTTGAGTTTCAAATTAATTTATAGATTACTTTGACAGAAAATCCTAATCACTCACCGATCTATCTACCCATTTATCTTCAAGTCAATCATGATTGCATTATTCTTGGAGTAGATTTGATTTCTCTTGAAATGATTTCTTTGTCTTGGTTGCTTGGCATATTTTATTTCCTTTGCCCTGCAAGCTCAATGCAAACATTAGACCGAGAACACTTCATAATGTTTTGTAATCATCAAAATGATTAGACGATCTTTGAATGACCTTTAGGGTCAACAGGGTTTTCTGGCGGCAGAGTGTGACTTCCTGTTGACGTTCGGTGTCAAAGGCAATAATGTCGGTGGATTCATAGTCTCAAATTTTATAAGGTGTTATTGGAGAGTGTGTGGATGTTGTGCCTTCTTCTTTAAGGAGGATATATTTCGAGGACGAAATCTTTTTAAGGAGGGTAGATTGTAACGTTTCCGATTTTTACCATTTTCATTTTTTCCGGAGATTTTGTCGCCGCAAGGGTAATTATGTCTTTTCACGTTTTGCGTACGGGATTGTGGTTGGGTCTAATTGCATTTGTGCAACTTAATTTATGTGGATCAAGTGGTATTTGTATGTGGTGCAATTATATGTTGTATGGTGTAAATTAGAGTCTAAAAGAAAAAGGGAAAAGCAAAAAAATTGGAGGGGCCCACCACTCACATTTTTATGGTCTAGAGACCATTTCTCTCTCCCTCATTCTTTCTCTCTTCCCGTAACTTCTTTCTCTCCTTCTTCTCTTATTCATTTTTCTTTTATTTTGGAACCAATCTTTGAAACAAGGTTTCTCTCTCAATTCTTACCGGATTTAGGTGCCATTTGAGGCAAAACGAAGCCCACAACGAGCTCTACGCACTAGTACGAACAATTTTAGATTCGGCGCTTCCTAGGGAGTTCGAAATTAGAGACCCATTTTGAGGGTTTTCGCATTTGAAGAGGTAGGGGTTCTTAATCCATGTGTTCTTGCTCTCTTGTAAGTTATTCCTTGTTAATTGTGGTTAAATGTGTTTAAATTGATGATTAACATGTTTAATTAAGTTGATTGCCTCTAAAATGATGTGATTTTGTATGTGAGATTCATATTTATGTGTATATGTGGATTTGTGAAATAAACATGCTTACATGTTGATTTTACATGCTTGTGTGTTTGTAACTTGGTAGAATCTGTTATGTGGAAAGCATGCCTTATTTAAATTGATTACCTTGAAAGTGATACAATTGTTGAATTAATAAATTATGCCTATATATGTGTAATTGTTAATTTATGTGGAGAGTATGCTTGATATGTGAATTTTCCATGACTATGATGATTGATAAATTGTAGGAAATTTGTGTGGATTAATGTTAATTGTGTAATGATAGTTCCTTCCATTTCCATATTTTAAAATGGGTATGCATTATGCATCCATGGCATTGGGCATGAAGGAAAAAGGGAAAATGTTTTGAAAACAAAAAGGGGAATTTTGGGAAATAAGTTTTTGATAAAAAGAATTTTGAGAAAACCCGGTCGTTGCGGAGTCACCAACGGGCTGGTAGGTTAATGTAGCCTAGAGGGAACTAGGGAGATTGTCCTAGCGTGGTTGAGCTATCTGGGCCCCTCGATGACGCTGCAGAGTCACCAAAGGTCTAGGGACAATAGCCAATCCTTCTCTCGGCGCTGCGGGGGTACTAAAGGGGGTTACATTAATAGTTTGGAAAGTGACAGATGAATGATTTTGAAAATGGGGAGCGACATTCGACACGCATTGCATTCCATTGTATTGTATTGTTGATGTTGAGTTTGGATGTGATGTTGTACTTTCCCGACATAGTATGACCCCGATTCCTATTGCTCTATTCTTTGTATGGATTCACGGGGATACAAGAGGTGTGTCTTAGGTGCCACCTATTGAGCAATATGCTCACCTCATTTATTTAACTTTTTTTTTCTTCAGGAAATGGGAAAGAAGTGGCGGATGAAAATCCCCCGCAAGCTTGAAGAAGATTAGGAGTTGTATTTTGTTATCTTTTGTATCTTAGCCCATTTTTTTGGTATAGTCTCAAAACTAAAATGTCGTGTATTCATTTTTGCAAGCTAAGGTAGTGTATTATAAATCATAACTCTTGTTGATATTTTGAAGGGAAACAAGACTATGTAAATGATTAAGTTGAAAAGGATGACGATGATGGGCTAACTTGGGGAGGTTGTTGATGTTGTGGTATTGGGGAATGTATTATATTTCTTTTGTATTGTGTGTTGGGACAGGTTGGATAGGTCTTGAAAGGTCATCGTATTTTTTTTTTTTTTTTTTTCATTTGAACAGGTTGTGGTAGGACCCTTTTAGGGGAGGTCATGCCGAATTTTTTTTTAAGAATTTGGTATCAATTTAGGGGCGTTACATGGGCTTTAAATTTGCAGAAATTAAAGAACCACCATCCTTTATCACATTATGTATATACTTGGACTTAGACATTACACAACTGGATGATACTTCTATCACTTTATTGACTTGGCTGGCTAATGGCTGCATGAGAAGTAGAATGATTTTTAATATCTGGTGACTATTAATTGCTCAGTACACCATCGTGGATCAATTAAAAAAGAAAAGAAATAGAACGAAAAACAAGAATATATATATATATATATATATATATATATATATATATATATATATATAAAGCAAAAAAATAAAAACATAGTGAAAATTTTGTTTTCTATTTTTGGTTGCAAACAGAATAATGAAATACCTAAATGTTCATTTAGGGCACTCTAATTGTAGTTATATTGATATTGAAATTGCAGAATACAAAAATCCTAATTTTGGTAAAGAATTTTTAATTATGTAACATATTGCTGCTAATTTAAGATTATGGCCAGACTACTCATCAAAGTATAGTAAAGTGGTGTATTTATGTACTAAAACTAGTTTTTCTTTGAAAATTGTAGGCATATGTACTGAAAGTGGTGCCTCTCTTTAGCAACTGATGAATTGTGGTTTTTCAAAATAGTTGTAAATAAATTATTGCTGATTAGGGTTTTTGGCCATTAGAAGAGAGTAATTGTGGAAGACAACTAACCGACTTTTCTCAATGATCATTAAGGTGAAATTTTAGATGAATGTTTGTGATGCTAGGAAACTTATCGTCAACGGGTATATTATTTTTGTTGATGGAATCCACCTTATTTTGGTGAAGCTTGTTTCTGTGGGTACTTGAGGGTTATATTTCTAATTTGCAAACCTCTATTATAATCTAAAGAAAACCAATTATAACCCCATTATTTTACATAGTGGAAGATATTATTCGGAGTTGTCGTGTGATATTTTTCTCCAATTTGAAGGGTTTCTGTGTAGTTGAATATCAGTGCTCTCTTTGGCAGAGGTAGATGAGAATTTATTCTATTCTCAACTCATGTGATGTAGGATATAATTCTGCACAGTTTGACAAATTCATTTTCGTCAAAACAATAGTGTTTTTTGGGTGGAAATGACGCATTGAGAAAAACCCATTAGCTTTATCTTGTGGGCTATATTGGTTTTCGGCTGAAAACCTTCGTTTAGGGCTCTGAAATCGCCTTTTATTGTGTTGTAGAAGGCCTGCTGATTGTTATGGGATTTTTGTTTGAGGCCTTACTGAAGTCCGAATGCTTTGAGAATTTATATTTAGTAGTTTTATTTAATTATGTTTCTTTCTCTATTTTTCCAGGATTATTTAGAGATAATTTATTTTTATGCTTATTTCTAGGATTAGTTTCCTTGGACTAGGTTTTAGTTTCCTTCTAGTGTTAGGTTTACTCTATTATAAATATATATTCATGTATTGCAAGAGTAGAATTTAACCTTTTTATCAATAATATTTCAGAATTCCTATGAATTTATTTCTTGTTTTGTGGATTCAAACACTATACTTTGTGGATTCAAAGTAACCCCTTCCTTGTGAACAAATTTATCGCTTCCGCTTATGTCAGTTGGTATCAGAGCCTTGATTTACCCTGAATTGATAACGATTGTTCGTTTTGGTAGCACCCATTTTGCCGATAATGATCGCAGAGTGAAGGCCCCTTAGCCAACCATACATACTCAAGATCAATTCGTAGCAACTGGTTTTAGAATTGGTGGCAACCAGGTTCGTGGTTCAATTCTTGTTCACGTTGATGATGTGTCTCACAGCCAACCGAGCATGGGTTATATTCTTGTTTATCCACGTAGGCCTCCAGCCTATACGGATTATTTCGATGATTTTTCTGATGATGGGGAGTGCATATTCCATGATCGAGGTAGATGTAACAATCGTGAATTTCAGGTAAAACTTGATCTACTTACTTTCAATGGAAGTTTATTATTGAAGAAGAAGTTGAAGACTTTTTTGAATATTTTGATGTACTTGAAAACAAGCAAGTTCCGCTTGTTGCCTTCAAGCTTAAAGGATCGGCTTCAATTTAGTGGGAACAAATATAGTTTCATCAAAGGAAAGAAAGATCACATCTTGTTCAGTCGTGGTATAAGATGAAACGTGTAATGTTTCGGATTTTTCCACTTTTCCATTTTTGGGAATTTTTTGATTTTTCGGTATTATTTCGTTTTTGCCTCAATTAGCGTACCGAACCCCGTAGGGTATGCCAGGTGAGTCCTGAGAGTTGGTTAGGGCATTTCTTCGAGTATAGTACTCTTAGAAATGCATTGTTAGCCATTTCGGCATTTTTCAGTTTTTCGGGTCGGCAGGTCCCGGGCGGGATTCGCACCCGGATTGTTCGTGTACGGAATTATTTATTAGTGTCATTACACTTCATATTTATCTATTTGGTGCATGTTTGAGTGGCTACGTACCTAGAGGTAGGTTTGTGACGTGTATATGTATGTGTGTATATAGTAAAGGCAAATTAGATTTTTTTTTTTTTTTTGGTGTGTGGACCTTACTTGGGCATTTTATGGTTGAAAAGGGGCAAACTTTTCATTTCTCTCCTTCTCTCCCGCAGCTCTCTCTCTCCTCTCCTTATTTTATTTTCATTTTCGTTTCTTTTAAACTTCAAATTTCTCTTCCATTTTCTGGCCAATCGGATGGGTTTCCTGCCTCAGTTCCTAAAGCTTTGTTTGGTTAGGTGGAAACAGTTAGAAAAGAAAGGAAGGAGAAAATTGTTAAATTTTTTTAGAGTTTGGATAGATAGAAAGAGAAAATTAATGAAAAATTTTGTTTCCATAACTGTTTATTTTCTCTCAAAACTTTTCATGCACAAAACACAGGGAAATAATTTTTTTTCACGTGAAATGTTTGCCTTTTTACTTGACATTCCTATATTACCCATTAACTTAATCATGAAAAATAATTTCTTCTTTTATTTTTGTACTAGATTTCTAAGAGACAAGTTCTCTCCAAAACAACTTTTTCTATATTTGTTTTTTTTCACCTTTCTTTTTTTTGCACAAGTTCATATATAATTGGCAACAACAAAATACAATCAAATCTCTCTAAAAAAAAAAAAAAATAGTATTGCTGTCAATACATCTCTGTTTTTTTTAAGTTTCATTTCTCATACACTAATAATTAGTTCTACTTCTGCCTTAGAAAATATTATGAAGTCTTATTTTAAATATAAATAATTATATTAATTATTAAATTTAATAATCCATTATTTTACAATTTCTTTGCTAAAAATAAACATCAACAAATACAAATTCATTTATTTATTATTAATTAAAATTATAAGGGTAAATTTGGTATCTTTAATCGATTTCTTTTCACTTTCATGCTATCCACCAAAATAACAAATTAATATTTTTCTACAATTTTCTTAAATAAATTTTCATTCTAACCAAATGCATGTAGGAAAATAAATATATATTTTTTTCATTCACTTCACTTTTCTTTCATTTTCCATTTCTTTTCTTTGCTTGCTTATTTCCATCTAACTAAACGGAACCTAACGGAAAATGTTCCTGATGAGCGCTGAAAAGTGAGCATTTAAACCCCTTAAGTTAAGGTATTCTAGGACCTTTATCTATCTTACTTTCCCATTTTAGACTAATTTCATGTTATTGCCCTTTTCAGGTGCTTATCTCAAAAATAAGTCAATTAAGCCAAATAAGACCATTAAAGAAGTTAACTCAAGCTGAATGGAAGAAAAGAGCAAAGTGGGAGCAAAATGAAGCAAAGTGTGGAAATTTAGCATGTTTGATCGATCTCAGCATTTCTTCGATCGATCGAAAGTTCATTGATCTAAACAGTTCAAGATGGATCCAAGCCCTTGTCTTTATCCAAAAGAATCCAATAAGTTCGATCGATCCAACATTTTCGAAATCGATCGAAATGATTCGATCTTATCCACACCTACCACCCACCTACCACTTTTGTCTTCTTCCCAAAACTATTTCAGAGATTTGTCTTTATTCAAAAAGGCACCGCTAAGGATGATCGATCTCTATAGCATTCGATGGATCTCAGCCATGTTCAATCGATCTCAACACAGTTCGATCGATAGAACTTCCTTAAGTTCGAAAAAAAAATAGATTCCAGCTCATTAAAAGTTGGCTCATGGTGCAATCATTAGAGGGACCTTGATGTATGAGCCTAGACCATTGGGGTGACATTTGACCTACCTATATAAGGATTGAGAGCCACTTTTAGAGTATAGTTGATATTCATAACTTGTAACATTCAACATATTTCTTATCTTGGAGAGGAGGCTAGAGATTAGAGAGCTTTACACATTTTCGGAGTTCTTCCATTCTTCTAGGGTTTCCATCAAGAAGGAGGTCATTCCTACCATGGAGATAGCCCTTGAGGGTTGGATGACTACTTCAATGAGTGGCTAGACATCTACTTGGGCCTATAGTAGCCCCTAAGTTTGCTTCCTAGACTTAGTTCTTTGTATATTTTTGGTGATTTATAGTTTTGATCTTGGATATATATATATATCTTGTGGTTTCTACTTAATGTGTATGGATTAATGCTTTCAATTGATTATCTACTTTTAACCATATGTCTATGTATGCTAGAATGGATGATTCATGTGTTTTTCTCTAGATTTAGTGGAATTTATGCATGTCTATGTGTATAGATGAAGTTAATCTAGAGATGGTCAAAACATAGAGCTTAATTGAACACTCTCGCAATTTATTTGATGGTTCACACTTATTTTTTGATGGATTGTACCACAACTTAGCTTACTCAGTTAAATTTCATGTCTTTAGTGTAGATATAGTTTAGTTGTTTTAAATTCATAGATAGGTGGACAATCTACTCTTGTTCCTTGGTGTTCCATACTTATGAATGCATTAGGTGTATGTTTCTAAATAGTTGTGTGTGCATAAATTGTG